CTTTATCCTGAGATAATTGAATTTCATAAGTATTTCATTTATCACCAGAAGCCACAAAAGGGGGGATAGAACTCCTCCCTGTGGTATGCCTCTGTTGACAGATTTCCTCACGGAACTCTCTCCTAAGGATGAGTTGATAATTCTGCTTTCCAGCATTCTATCAATCCATTCCGTAAGGAGTGAGGGGATACCTATGCTTACGAGAGCAGAATGGATGGCCTCTAACTTCACATTGTTGAAAGCTCCCTCGATATCGAGGAAAGCTGCCAACGTGTAGCCAGAGGACTCCATATTCTTCTCGATGCATCCAACCCCTCATGCAGAGCTGTATCCACGACGTTGGTATTGGTAGTTATCCAATTTTTTAGCAGAAATATTTCAAAAATGTTTCTCCTTTTTACAGAATCCCAAAATAAAGGTACAACTCAATTGAGTAGTATTATTTTGCTCTTAGATTAATTCTGGATTTCGCCTTTTTGGTGGGCCATATTCTAACTTAGTCTCCATATAAAGGTCTTAACCCTCTTTTCGGAGTGTTGAAGGTCATATCATAATTTTCCTCTTTATTATAATTTGGTTCTTTGTTTTTCTCCACCCTTTAATATAACAATTACTTAAGGCAAGTTTTAAATTTATGGACCTTTTTGTTTTCACTTGATTTTTTTTTTAAATTTTCTTTATATTTTACATATTGGATGCAAGCCAATAATTCTTATTTGAAATCTATTCTTATCCAAAAAAATTACATACAATAGATTTGCTGTCGTAATGTGAACTTTATTGATTATGCGTATCGTATGAAACGAATTTGTAACAATGGTGCAAGCGACACTTCTTTTAAATGACGTCTATTGGAGAATACATGGCATGGGATTCATTGGACACAATTTGAAATTAAATTCAAAATTTAATATACATATTTATTATATATGGAAAATTATGTCTATGGACCTTCGTAATATTCCTGGGAGTTTCGTAGGTCCCTTATCTCAATTTGTTTTGTTATTAATTTAATATATTAGAGTATTAATTTAATCATATTCCATGAGGTTTCTTCGCTAGCTTTTTTTTTTGTAATTCAATTTAATTTGTGTGTTCTAAAGACATGAACTTCTTTTCACGTCTCTTCACTTTAAATGTAATCTCTGTATTCGACGGTTGTAGAGCAAACCACTTAAGGATGTTTTTTTTTTATTATATCCTTGGTATACAATGTATACGGACCAGAAAGAGTAGCAACGCATAGCAACTATTAATGGTGTTGTGATTTTTTCTTTGCTACTATCATTTTCTAAATAAAAATATACATATGAGGGTGGCTCGTATTATATTTGTTATTGAGGATGATTCATAAAAAATATTATTTTGTATTGGGATAAGGACGAAAGAGAGATTTATGATTTCTGACTTTTATTTCTCCAAAAAATTAGCTAATTTTATTGGGAAATGACTACAGTATTAGTTGGAAAATAAAATTAGATTTCATTGAAGTCTCTCAAAAAATTCATGTTTGGGAATTGGTGAATTTATTTTTGTTTTTAATTCCAAATACAACATTTTAAAATGTTTTTTGTTTTCAATTCCATTTTTTTCATATCAACCTATGGTAGGCAATATACCAAAAGCTATCTGCAAAACAACCCTTCTTTTATTCTTGCTCCTTCAATATAAAATGACCATTTCACTAGCTCATATTTTCCGCTAGAATAGATGCAATAAAAATAGAAAATATTTTTTTTTTTTGCAAAAATATTAAACACATAAAGTAAACTTGTGTACTTTGGAATAATCCTTGAACGTGTTTGTTCAACAACAAAGGGGGTCATTGCATGCAATACGAGTGTTTACTATTTAATTTTAAAAGTTAATTTTATAAATAAATTCTTTCGATTTTTTTCGAATTCTGAAATTAATTCAAAGACAATTTCTTCCCTGTGAGCAATCATTTGAGATGGAAGAACAAAAATTCGATATGTGTGAAAGAAATTTGAAGCCAGTTTAATGGATTTGGCCAATGTTTTAACTGATTAGTGACAATAATTTTCTGTAAGCTGTGAAATCAATACTCGTATCTTACTAATAATGATACGGATTTAATTCTGTTGGTCTGGATTATGGTAAATTGCTATAATCTTAAAAAAGTATCAACAAATTCAAACCTTATTTCTCCAATAGCTTAAGGAAAAATTCACGCGTTATGGCTGTAATTATCTAATTAATTTAGATTGTCAATTTACTGTTACAAAAAAAAATCCAAGACGTATTGTCTTAAAAAATAAACAAATCAACGTCAACGACTAAGGATTGGTCCAAAAGGACCAATGGGTCTTCGGACTAAATCTGCGGTCGGTAATGATAATAGGATGTGCAAAGTCTGGTTTAAGACGGACATTGCATTCGAAAATTTCGACCATTGGTGGGGGAGTTACCTGAAGGAATGGACCAATGGGTCCCATCTTCGGACTTGATCTATGTTAGGTACAAATAATAAGTTGTACAAATTTTGGTTCAAATCGGATAGTCCATTCCCTTGATATTACAAAATTAATTTTCAGCAAAATTTTGACCATTTTTTGTGGGAGGTATTAGAAGGAGTGGACGGATATTCCACATCTTCATATTTTATTTAAGTTTAGAAGAAATATTACCATGTGCTAAGTTTGGTTGAAATCGGTAACTCCCTTCGATAGTTATCGTGCGCACCCGCCAACCAGAACAACAGATAGACGGACAGTTGTAAATCGACTTCAAATGGTCTGAAACGGATTTGATCCAAAGAAACATGGGATCTAAAACTAATATTCGATGAGACAATTTTTGCCGTATCAAAGTGTATATACCATGAGGCTGAGGGTATAAAAATCCGCACCTGATAGTCATAAAAAATATTCCTAAAAAATCAACGCAGAAGCCTACTCTGCTCAACTTACCCACCTGCTTGACGAAAGCATTCCTTGTCCCGATAATAATATAGAAGGACAATTGTCCACTCCCCACAAACTATAGCAAAAGTAACACTTGGGTACCAAAGACCACCATCAAGAAACCCATGATACGATCAGGAGTGTCGTAATGCTACTGATGTAAAGAATGCAGCGTACAGAGCAACTCTGCAGACAATAACAACACACAATGCGAGAGAGAATTATCAGGAGAAAATATGAGATTTTCGGACAAAAGAAGAAATAAAAAGAAAATCGTGAGAAGTCCGGTAATTTCACCAACGAATAAAACACCAAACCGAAGGCTATGGTGCAGACACATCCTCCTGTAGAAATGAAAAAGTAAACATGGTGACAGATACAGACAGCTTGTTGAGGATCTGGAAGGAATATTTTGAAAAGCTTCTGGTATCAAATAGTGGCGGTGAAGAAGATACCCCAGAACCAATAGAGTGTATACCATCTAGTCAAGATGAGGTCAGAAAGCAATTAATCAGCCGTCAGATGCTGGTCAGGAGCATGCACCAGCTGATTAGCACAATTTAGCTAGAGGAATGCATGCCCAATGATTGGGCATTGCATTCCCGTATTCCGTGTACAAAAAAGGGGCCAAGAGGATAGAGGAATAAGTCTCCTTCCCATGGCATATAATACAGCGTACTGTGTGAACGACTGTAGCCAATGGTCAGTGACATTATTGGATTATACCAATGTGGCTTCAGGCCTGGCAAATCTGGAAAAGACCCACGAAAAAAACCTCGACATATTCCACTTATTCGTCGACAATAAAGCCGCATTCTACAGTCCCATTCATTCTGAGATTTTTAAAGCAATTCCCGCAAAATTAATACGGCAATGCAGGATAGCTTTAAGTGGCACAAGGTCAGCAGTTAAAGTCGGAAAGGACCTCTCTGAGCCTTTCAATACCGAACTAAGGTTCAGACAAGATGACAGCCTCTCTTGTGATCTTTTTAACATCCTGCTAGACATAATTTTATATATCTCGGTACCGCCATAAATAAAACTAATGATAGTTTTGGCCAACAGATGCTACTATGACCTATAAAAGAAACTTAGAAATGATATATGGGCCGATCTGCATCTACGGTGAATATCGCCGTCGAATGAACCATGAGCTGTACCATCTATTCTCGGACATCGACATAGACTTATCGAGTTGCAGCGACTACGTTGTGAGAATGGATGAGGATGCTCAAAAGGTAGACATATCATGTCTTGATCTCTGCTTACAATTCTTCAATACCCTCATATTCATATTAACTTAAACACACAATTTCGAATTAGCTGTACACTGGAAATGCTATAACGAATCAACAATCCGTGTCCTAGATATAAGTTATTCTCAGTCACCCTTTTCCCAAAAAAGTAAAAAATTCCCTTTCATTTCCGGGTAGACATAAATAAATAATATCAGCAACAATGTGTTAACCTAAAGGAGCTATTAACAAAATGTGGATTATTTTGGTATATTCGATACTTTGTTGTTGTTGTTGTTTTAAACGTAAACAAATAGTAACCGGTAATTCATAAAACCATTGCGTGACTATGACAATTAATTGTTAAAATATTTATCCTCGAGGGTGTTAATAACGGAAACAAAATTAGGTTTTTTTTTGGTAAACAATCAACAACAATTCCAATTTTGATACAATTTCGGTACTAATACCTTTAAGAAATTTAATAATCCCATTTTTTGTTTGACCTAAAAAATAAAAAAATCAAAAAAAAAAAAAAAAAAATTAAACGTACATACACAAAAAAGATTTAAATATACAATCTGTGTCCTTTAAAGTATTCTTTAAAAAACATGCCTCTTATTGTCCTTGATAAATTATTATTCTTTATATATTCTTCTCTTTTAGACCTTGAAATAAAATTCTTTAATAAATCCACGCTTCCTATAGTCCTTGAAAATATATTTTTTAAAAAAATCCACGGCTTTATGTTCGTCCTTGAAAAAACATGTCCTTAAAATATTAATTTCTCTTTTTAAAAACCTGTCTAATTTTTTTCCTAAATTTTTTTCGTTTCTTCCAGGATGGGATCTCTCTTCCGTGGACGATATTGAATGCATTGGCATTACACATGGCATTGTCGGCGTTATATCCCTACCCAATGTCTATGAACCGCATCTTGTGATAATTAAGGAGGCTACACCGGTCGGTGTACTTTATCCACCACATTTAGTGTATAAAATTAAGTCAATATGTATTTTAAGTGCTGATGATCCGGACACTAGCCTTACACCATGTACACGTCATTCACGAAGTTCCAATACAACACCAACACATTCAAGAAATTCCTCAACATCATCGACGTCGATAGCGAATGCTAATAATGCGAATGCCAATTCGGCAACATCAACGTCGTCGTCACGTACGAAGTTATTCGAAGGCAATCAGTTGATGAACAAAACATGGGGTGCTGTGAAAAGTGCTGGTACAACTATAAAGAATACTACACAGCAAGCGGCGGCCCTGGCCTCAAATCAAGTTAAGTCATCGGTGGGTATACGCGATCCATCGAGAATTGAGAAGCGAATTACGGAGGAGCTGCACAAGGTATTCGATGATACGGATAGTTTTTATTTCTGCTTCGAACATGATATTACAAATAATTTGCAACGCCATCTGCCGACGGGCTCTACAGATCAGCAGACACCGGATGAGAGGTTCTTTTGGAATATGCATATGTTGGAGGCTATAATGAAATTGAATGTGAGTAGAGAACAATTTTTCCTATTGACAGATCTTTTTATAACAATTTTTTTTTTCTTTTTTCAGGACAAAACCTGGATATTGCCCATAATTCAGGGCTTTGTCCAAGTGGAAACATGTGTCATTGGTAATGAGTGCTTCAATTTGGCTTTGGTTTCACGACGGTCACGACATCGTGCCGGGACCCGTTACAAACGACGTGGTGTCGATGAAAACGGCAATTGTGCAAATTATGTGGAGACCGAACAAATACTCACTTTCCGTCATCATCAATTGGCGTTTACTCAAGTTCGCGGTTCGGTACCGATTTATTGGTCTCAACCGGGCTATAAATATCGACCTCCACCCCGCCTAGATAGAGGTGAACAAGAGACCCAGGAAGCTTTTGAAATACATTTCAACAAAGAACTCAATATCTATGAGGGTGTTTGTATTGTAAATTTGGTCGAACAAAGTGGCAAAGAGAAGCTGATCGGCGATGCCTATGCCAAACATGTTTTGAAATATAACAACGATCGTATTGTTTATATAACATTTGATTTTCACGACTATTGTCGTGGTATGCGTTTTGAAAATGTCTCGGCGTTGGTAGAGGCTTTAGCACCGGAGGCCGGTGCCATGGGTTTTCATTGGCGTGATCAACGTGGTGTTATATGCAATCAAAAATCAGTGTTTCGTGTCAACTGTATGGATTGTTTGGATCGTACAAATGTGGTGCAGACCGCTTTGGGTAAAGCAGTATTAGAATCGCAATTAGTTAAATTGGGTATGGCTCCGCCATATACACCCATACCGGAGGCTTTGAAATCACCATTTATGGTGTTGTGGGCCAACAATGGTGATATTATCAGTCGGCAATATGCTGGCACCAATGCTTTGAAGGTAATTTAAATCGTACTCCATTTTTTCTTAATAATCAGTCATACAATTTGTTTTTTCTCTTCCAGGGTGATTACACACGCACAGGTGAACGCAAAATCAGCGGCATGATGAAAGATGGCATGAATTCAGCTAATCGGTAGGTTATCCCATTTTTTGTAGTTGTATATATATATTATTCGTTGTTATTTTATGTTTTTTTTTAGTTTTTGTTTTGTCTTTTGTTTTAGTTTAGACAATTGTTGAAAATATTTTGCAAATGCTTTAATTTTTTCTCTTCGAAAAATCGCAAAGTTGGTTTATTAACATTTTGTGAATACTTTTGTTGGGGTCTTTCTCTCTCGTATCTCTTCTATCCCCATTTTTTCCACTAATATTCATCAATAATTTTCGGCATGCTTGGTTTTTCTTTAAAAATTTTACTAATTTTATTAAGAATTGTTTTCAAAAGCTAGCTTTTCTATTAGGCATATTTTTTACTCAATATTCGGTAATAATTTGTACAGATTTTTTCTGGATGCGGTTCGTTTATTCAAAATTGCAATAAAATTAAACATTACATGAACATGTTATATCCTACACCTTAGTATGGGGGATATATCGACTTTGTTATTTCGTTTCCTGTATCATATTTTTAGAATAACAATTTAACAGTTGATTTGTACTGAAAAGTATCTGGTAGAATTTTTATATGGTTTTAAAATTCAGTTTTTGAATTCATTACTGTATTAAAAAAATTTAATTTTAATTCTTATATCCGTAGTCTACTGTACTCACTTACATTACTTAGCTGGCTTGGGACAGAATATTTGTTCCATAAGACGAACTTAAAATAGATTTCCATGCGCGTAGTTTTTGTGCGTATCTCATCCAATTTGAAAGACAATTTTCCGAGATGTTGTCTGCTACTTGATCTTTCCATCGGATTCGTGGCCTTTTCCTTCTGCATGAACCATTACTTGGCTCGCTTTTACATGCCTTAACAAATCTGACAACATAACCTAGCCAACGTAGTCGCTGCCGCTTGGTACGTCTGACAATACCGATCTCCGAGAATAGATGGTACAGCTCATGGTTCATTCAACGGTGATATACACCGTAGATGCAGATCGGCCCATAGATCATTCGGAGAATTTATCTTTCAAACACTCCAAGAGCTGCCTTATCTGCTTGCGACAGTACCCAAGCTTCAGATCCATATAACAGCACGGGTAGTTTCAGCATCTTGTATCGTGTCATTTCTGTTCACATTTACCTCTCGTAAGACTGTCACCTTGTCTGAATCCTGGTTCGGTATTAAAGGTCTCAGATATGTCATTTCCGACTTTAGCTGCTGACTATGTGCCAGTTAAAATTATCCTGCATAGGCGTATTAATTTTGCAGAAATGCCGAACGCTGATATGGCTTTAAAAACCTCTAAACGGATATGGCTATCGAAGACGGCTTTATAGTGGAAAGTAATGTGCCGATGTGTTTTTCGTTGGGTCTTTTCCAAAATTTGGCGCAGAGTGAAAATCTGGTAAAAGGTGAATTTTTCAGGTCTGAAGCCACATTGGGTATGGGCGAATAATGTCATTGACCGTTTGCTTCAGTCGTTCACACAGTACGCTGAATAGCACTCTATACGCGATAGGAAAGAGGCTTATTCCTCAAAAAATTAAACATGGCATAGCCCGCCATTTATGAAGATCCCGTACGATTACATGTATTCTAAATGTCCACCACATAGTGAAGACTACCAAAAGTTTGGCACGGCTGAACTTAGCGACATTTTTATATACGGTTTAAACCGATACAATCACGAAAATGCATCCATACCCCACATCCATGCAGTTTTGACACCTCGCTACTAGGGCTTAAGCGTGGCTTGCAGTTGGATGAGGATGATTGGCTCAAGCCCTCTGATCAGGTGGGTACAGCACTATACTTCGGGAGTGTGTTTTTGATAGGTGAGGGACTACGTGGACGAACAGTGACAAAGGGAGGGTGACGTACGAATTTATTGGTGACGCAACGTTCGTAGTGGACCGGCCAGACTTTCGCTTGGGCTTAAGTACTGGTTTCTTACTGACGGGGCATTGTTCTCTCTATGCGTTTTTGCATAAAAGTGGCCTGTCCCAAACGGATTTATGTGGGTGTGGGATGACTGAGGACTGGAAGTATATACTGACTGCTGATGTTTTGTATCGTGGGTGGTTCCCGGTCTTCCTGTTTCACGAGGTTCACTCCTCTTGTGGATGTCGTGAAGGCTTTCGCTAAGGGAAGTTTCGTTGATTGTTTGTGTTGTTGTTGTAGCAGTCCTATTGCTTTTACACAATGGACTGAGGTGACAGACGTTTAAGACTCTGCCAACGTCGTGGAAACGTTGATTGTATGTGTTGTGATTGCAGTCCGTTGTTAATTGTTTGTGCTGACTTACGTCGTTACTGCCAACGTGTTGTATATTTTTGTATTGGGATTCCAGCCCGGACTTGCGGCGAACTGGTAGAGGCTGCGATCTCGAGCCTGATCCAGTCTGTCAGTTGGTGTGGCCCCCTGGTGAGCTTTGCGGGGGGTTGTGGTTTCGCCCCTCACCAAGGGGGAGAGTGTACCTTCTGCTGGTGGGCGTAATTCCGCCTGTGGCTCAGCCACTTTGAGGTTGGCAGATGGAATCAAGGTCCGGAGATTATTTCTATAGCCTCGCAGACCAAGTGTGACAATAATATTTCCAAATACTTGCATTTGTGGAGTTGGTAGCCCCTGGTCGAAGTCTTTGAGTCAATCCGGTGCTTTGAATCAGCTTCCTTGTAATTGAAGTGAGGACTTATGCGATATGGACAGAATCCTTACTTGTATGTCATCGCTTTGTAATCCGAAGCTTGAGTCTCGAGATTTTGTGCATAGAGTTTTTAATAGATTGTAAGCATTGCTTTCTGAGCCCCTTCTTCTGAATTAAATAAGTTTTTTAGGTTATTTAGTTTAGGTTAATTCTCTTTCTATTAACAAATTAAATGATTGAATATTTAGTTCTTCTTTTTATGGAGTTTAGGTGCTTAGGAAAATATTTTGGAACTGTTTTTTGAAAACAATTCTTTCTCTTTTCTGTAAGAAATCATTTGTAATATAAATTTGCTAATTTCCTTCATCACAATCATATTTCTCTATTAACCAAACAAAGAAAACATTTCAATATTTAATACACACGACATTTTTCTAACTAATAACACTTTCTGTGTTTTATTATTCGTTTTTTTGTTTTAATTTCGATTATACATATCCTCAACACCAACAAAAACAAAAACTTCGTATCTTTGTTCTTTCTCTTCTCTTTTTTTCTATTCGTAGTTTTTTCATACAAAATTTTGCCGATACATTTCGTCAGTGCATTATTGATTTAATGCAGGGCCAATTGAATGATGCCCAACAATTGAGAGAGGACGAAGTTTTGACAACAATACTACAAATTTTATGTCCCTCTGTGCCGGCACCAACAAGGGGCTATTATTATGCTGGGGTTTTACAACCGGAATTGCAATTATTGGAAAATGTTATTTACACAAGGTGGCGTAATAGTAATAATAATCTCGGCAATGGTGTTGATCATCTACAAGAAGATGATAATGATAATAATAGCGATGCTAGTAGTAAACTTGCCACTCGCAGCAAGTTTCAATTGCACATACCAGATATTTTCAACAATTCCATATTTCAACATTATTTAGTTATGCCTTTCATTTCGATTTGTTTTATTTTAACATTACAAAAGGTATTATTTTCAGTTTTGTTTTCTTTTCATTTAACTTGCATGAGTTTGTTTTATTTTGAAAAAAAATCTAATGATTCTAATCGTGTGTTTCCTTTTTACGTGATTTTTCTTTTATAGCTATTACTTGGCACGTTTTAAGGACAGCTATCGTCAAGCCACCATCGATTTAATGTTGGGCAATCCTGTCACCGCAGAATCTTTAAACGCATTGGGGGCAAA